CTAAAGAAATACGAATGTGGGAATTATAATTGTTGTTGTACTTGCGCAATGAAAATAAAGGGCGATTCTATTCCATGTGTTTTGGCAACAGGCTGCTAGTAACATAGTGCCTAAATCGTCTGTTGTGTGTAGACACAATGCCGGTTCATCCCTTGAGTTATGAGTTGTTTTATGCTTGAATGATTCACAGGTCAGTGTTAAGCAAGACTGAGTGAAAAAGGAGCTGAAACTTTCTGCCTAGAGAATTACTGTAGACCATGTTCGAAAATTACAACAAAGTCTGACTCCGTGGAAGCAAAATCTAGAGAAATGAGAGGATATTTAAGACGTTCAAGGTGCTATATGGAGTGTCCACGTGAACGCTTACCCTCTGTCGAGGCCCAGATTCCCAGGTTTAGGAGCAATTCCTATATGGAAGGGATTTGCCATTCTTTTAAGCTTAAGACTTTTTAAAGATACTGGTTTTCACATCTCCGTCAGCATCTCCTCCTGTAACCTTGTCCGTTAAGCCTGCAACACAAAGAAGATTTTCAAAAAAACAAACCCATTCATTTTTTTTTTGTTTTGACAATTTGAAGTTTTGCCTTTGTAAAGACATTTAACCCAAAAAAACAAAAACAACCTGAACGTCTGCACTAAATTTGTAATTGGACTGAACGACATTCAGCAGTTGTCGAGACATTGAATGTGAACCCCCCAAATGTCAGCCTGGTGATTGTGGCGTAAAATTTGACGGGAATCGGCAAATTCATGAGAGTTCAGCCTGTTCAATTTTATTAGTTTATTTATTAGTTAGTTAGTTATGTAAAATGCAGTAAACTGAACCGTGACAGCACCAAATAGGTACAACACCAGATCCTCCTGGGTATATTTTATACATATATCTTACAGATAACAACATTAACTTACTGAGCAGTATGATTTATAAGAGCAGCACAGTACTGCGTGCCATGTTTAGTAGTACTTTCGTCCATACATGACCTAAACTCCCACATAACCACCACATGAACCATTACAAAGACACTTAAAAAAAATAATTACCAATATGCCACGTTCCTGCGAGCTCATGATGGCACCTGACTTCAGTTCAGAAAACAAGTGTGCCTCTTAAGAGGATGATTGTGCTAAAGGTTTCACGTGGTACAAAAGAAACTTTTCGGCTAATAAGCTATTAGGGACAGGACAGAGGGAAGGAAGGGCGAAATTACAGAGGCAGTGTAGCACGAAACAACGACTTAGCTATTCTCTGTTAAGAAATGATGGACATGACATTTTCTGCAAAACCTTAGTGATTCAGGGACACATTTGAAGCGAAAGTGAAGTGCATGGCAATCTTTTCCGTCACCAAGACAACACTGTGTCCTGTCAGATAGATTGGATTGGTAATGGCTTTAAATACCAGAGTGTCTCTGTTTCTCTGTCCTCCCAGCCTCTCCCTCTGTATGTGTCTCTGTATATGTATATATGTGTGTGTGTGTGTGTGTGTGTGTGTGTCCTACATACAAATAGAAATTGGTCGCTTTCAAATGGAGATGATGAATCTTTAGCTGTTGGAATAACTCTTTTCTTGGAAGTGAAGTGGGGTCAAAAGAAAAGTATTTTTTAATGCCACAGTAAGCAGTTAGGTATTAGTCACTGCATTTTTAAAGCTGTTTACAGAATTGTGTCCAAATAGTTTTTTTTCCTAGACAAAAGACACAAAGAAAAGTCAGAAAGAGCCACAAAGAGAGGCAGTGCAAGGGTGAATAGAGCAAAACTGACATCCTCCTTTTCCCATGCTTATCACATCCTTTTTCTTTTAACAGCCAGTTGTAGACACTTCCTTTTTATTGGAACTATATCTGTTCCTTCAGAAACATCACACACAGTTGGCAGTGGAATGCACAATTAGCATATTCATGAGATGAATACAGTGGAAACTTTGGAGTCGCAAGCGACAGGGGGTGTGGGGTGGGAAGCTGTTTGTGTGCGTGTGTGTGTGTGTGTGTGTGTGTGTGTATGTTTGTTGCGGAACAAAAAAGCAGATGGCACGGTGACTTTGAAAATCCAAAATTAGGTATGTTTTCATGAACTTCATGCTCATTGGCTATGTAAATCGCACAGTCAGACAGTCATGAAAGACAATGTTGTGTGTGTTTTCCAGCTTTTCCTCTGAGATCATGTTTGTTGATTGAAATCTGCTTGCTGCTTGGAGTCTCTTAACAGTTCTAATTTTGTGAGTGTGTACATCTTTGCGTGCATGCGTTTGTGTGTATGCCCTCACATGCTGTGTATATTATATTTTATTGAAACTGACATGCGGTCTTCTTAAATAACTGCCACGTGGACGCAGATCTGGCTTTGAACAGTGAGATGTTCCTCACGCCATGCCAGAACTACTTTTGATCATTTAAAAATGGAGACCACAGTCTTTCTGCCCAATTTGGACTCAACTCAACAGCTTTTTAAAATGTTGTGCTTTAACCACAGAGGAAACTCATGGATGTAGGGAAGGAGGACATGCAGAGGGTTGGTGTGACACAAAGGGTAGGATGAGACGGAGGCAGGTGATCCTCTGAGGTGACCCCTAAGGAGAGCAGCAGGAAGACGATTTATTTAACTTGAGCAGAATAGCTTTGCTTGAATCACAGTATTACTGGGTCTTGGTGCAGCTGCTCAGTTCCTCCAGTGCCTGAAAAAAGCCACTTCAGGCTCCTTTAACTTAACTTTCTTCTTATTGGCTGCGTCTCAAAAACAGAAGGTCTGATCAGGTGGGTGGGGCATGTGTGCTCACAACCACAACATGCACATCAGATGATGGTGTAAGGATATCCACTTGTAGGTGGTGTGGTACCATTATCTGACTAGTTTGGTTTATGAGTTAACTGCACACAAAGAGAGTGTATGCAGGCGACATGTGACATTTACTCATCTGCTGCAGTTTATCTGTGAAAACTGCAATAACGTCTAATCTCTGAACTTTTAAACAGTTTTTTTGAAAGTGTTGTTTCGGCTTGCAGAGAGTCATTAGCTGAGTTAAATAAGGTTCGAGTGGTGCTAATTGTCCCGAAGCCAATCACTCAGATTACTGCCTCTAATTAATGTCTTTTTCTGACTTTACAAACAATAGACAGTTTGTCCAGTTCTATCAAAATGCAAATGTACATTTTACAGTAGAGATAATAAACATATTGAGGTCAAATAAGAGTCCAAGCTACGCATTTATCTCAAGGTGGAATCAAGTTTGTGTGTGGAATATATCTCCAAAGATAATGAAGGTTATATTGTTATAAGTACAGTTGTGTTATGCATATTGTGTGTGTCTTTTTTGTTATTAAACAAACGCATTCATCCTCTTACTTTGTTTGCTTGGATCAGAAGCATCCATTGGCTACCAAATGGCCAGTGCTAGCAAGCTTCAGGTGGACAAAGACGTGGTCCCCGTACCTTTGTAATACCATTGTTTATCTATTCTCTTCAATGTACACTAATTATATCGAAAAATGTGAAATTCTGCTTTAATTCCATGTTTTCCAGGTCTTTATTATTTACTGAGATAAAGCAGGAAAAGCCTTACCACTATAGAGTGATTTAATTACTGTATTTCAAAGTGAAAGTAAATTAATTAAATAAGTCATTTTCAACATGTTAGCCTACTTTTGTAACATAAAGTGAAATCACTGTACAACCATAGCAAGCTAAGTAAAGCCTGTAACTACATATTGACAACACAGCAGTGTTTCTCAAACTTAGTAAATGATGTTGATTTATTTCAGCTCTAGTCATATTTATATACAAAAAATAAACAGATAAATACATTATTCAACAATAAAGACTTAATGTGTTTATGATGTTAAATTTTACAATCTTCAGTCTTGGTCAGGGCCTTTCCTGCTTTGGGACCTGATCAATAGTTAGTTGACTGCTGAGCTCACCTGACTATTGATCAGGTGAAGTCAATAGTCAGTATAACTTTTTCACAGCAGGCATGTGACTTATAGCAGCAAGTGCACACTTGGGGGGAAGTTTTGTCAATGATGACTGTGTTTCATCAGGTTTTCTGCATTAACACCACTGGCACAATGAACTGCCTCATGAAGATCATACTGTTGTGGCCACAGCAATGGTGACTGTTCAGAAACATCACACGGTCCCACCTAAAAGCTCATTATTTAGTTTAGGTAGTGATGGATGAGCAACAGTTGAAAGCATCAGGCATAGATCAGATTATTGTAATGTATATGCAGACAAACCCCTTAACAATATATGATAAAATAGCTAAGGCCCCAGCCAACCGCATGGTAACCACTGGTCGCTAGGGAAAAATGTGCGTTCCCGGACCAGTTGGCGAGTGGTTGCAGGAGGCTGCTTGCTGCCGGTAGGTGCAGTTGACTGCAAACAGTTACATGGTGTGGCACAGAAAACTGTTGCTTGTGTTCACCAGCTTGTCTGCAAAACCTTGCTAACTAACTCCTGAATGGTACTGAAACGTGAAGTGGCAACTGTTTGCCTTAAAAGGAAAAGTTGTGCCGGTAAGCTATATCTTTAACTTTGAAGGCGAACTGTCACTGCTTGTAGTTACCAAGTTTTTGCAGATAAGCTGGTATTTTCAGCGCAAAGCACCAATCCACTAGCGACCAGAACAGTCAGATTGAGCACCATCTTTGTGACTCACTTTACCAGTTGACTCCATTTCCCTCTGGGATTCATAAAGTTTGTCTTTTTCTGATTCTGATTCTGACTGTCAGCAACTTCCAGTAACCACTCCCCAACCGTGAAGGTAGTATGCGTTTTTCCACAGCAACCAAGATGCTGAAAACAAAGCGAACTCCGGCAGCAAAAGAGCAGCGTTTTTATCAGTCACCACTTTAATACAAGTTTCGACTAATGTTTAAGTAGTAGTTTCAGAAGCTTTCTTACGTCCTTTTTTCTATCATTGGAATGCATGACTAAGTTTGTAAGTGGCCTGTCCTTATACACAGTATTTATAATGCTGCTTTCTGTGTATGTGTGAATTTCAGACATGGCACGCCGTTGGTGTACTTTGGAAGGCGGCTTCCTGAGTTACTATGAGAGCGAGCGAAGCCCTTCAGCCATTGGCAGGGTGGACGCCACCGAAGTCATTAGCCTGGCTGTCAACCACACAGAGACGATGACTGGAGCTGGGTATGAATGCACACACAAATCAACTAATTAGTGAAAGTGAGTACATGAAGAAAAAAATCTAAAGGTTTCAGGAAATTACTTCAGTCCAAATCATGGACTAGATTTCAAAACTTTTTGTGTTCCCCTAAGCTTGAACTGATTATTACAGAGTCTTTTCAAATGAACATCAAACTTCATTTACTGCTGTAAAGTAGTGCCAACATTTGTTTTTTTTTATGTATTTCTTAAACATATATTAAACATATTGATATTTTTTTTTTAAACTCACAATATTAGCTGTCCAGAGAGAACTCTTAAATAACCTCAAACCTCCCAGAGCAGCAACAAACACCATCACATGTCCTATAGTAGCCCATGAGACTGTAACAGTTCTTTAAACCTCGCTCTTATTGGCTCATTGTCTTACTAAATTAGCCAACCTCTAAGTTTTGCCATGAAACTCTTCCTTAAAATCACCTCATACAATTTTGGATTTATCATTCCCTCAGTGAATCTATCCAGGCTCTGAGGTAGTGAAGCAAAGCCCAAACCATGATGCTCCCTCTACTTGTGCTCTATCCCGTGCTGTAATTACGTTTTTCAGTTTTTTTTCCCCGCTTTCAGACAAAACATTGTAAATTTTTGCCTAAACCTTCAACTTGAAACAAATTGAGATATCAGAGGGGGACAATGCTTCCATTAGCATCACTTTTATTCAGTGTTTTCTAACGGTGGAGCTACAAACGCAGATATAGAGATTTCTGCAGAGATGTTGTGTTTCTACACTTGGCCCACTTTCAGGATTAAACATTTATTATAGATGATTTGTGTTTTTGTGGATTGGTTTACACTTTGGTCTTCATAAAGGCGTTTGTAGCTTTTTCTGGCTTTGTGCATCTCTACGAACCTTCGATGACCTTCAGAGTTGTTGCGATGTTTCACACCACTCCGTCTTTATTGTGTGCCATTATTTAGAGCCAGGGACACCTCTGCAAGTCACGCATCCCATCCTGGTCCTACCAGATATTCACAGCTTTCCCTGCTATGCTATTAATGTCGAGCATTTAACATTAATTTAAATCCAGTATGTGGGGACCGCACATAAATTACACTTTGCAGGAGATCAACAAGGTAATAAGGCTTTCATAAACACTCAACATTTAAATTTACTCTTATTCATGCACATCCCTCGTACATAAGCATACGCAGCACAACCCTGCAGTTAAACTGCTTTGAAATGCTTCATTTGCATCCTCTCTACTAAATCATAATTTATGTGATTGTTAAATCTGCTTTAAGGACACACGTGTCACACATACACAAAAGGCATTTTGAATAATTTATTTCTTTTATTGGTTAAAATCATTTTTACTGCACGTTTTATTCATATATTGCAGCACCACAGCCTGCTTGACGTGGATGTATACCCAGGCTTCTGCTCTGTTTCTTTCCCCTCGTTGTGTGTCTCATTAGCATAACCTCAGACTGAGCATTATTCAGTTTTACAGAACCATCAGGGCTTTATGAGCGCTATGTTTACTATTTACTTTGGTGGGGATGCAGTTTTAACTGCCACTTCCTGTGTTCGTGTTACCGTTCCGCCTCACCCCGATCGCGTTCAGCACTCCTCAGTCAGATTATGATGCAGCTACACCACAAAAAAACAACAAAAAAAAGTTGCTTTGACAACAAACTTTTATTTACTTATTTATTTATTTATTTATTTCTTGTGGAAGTGGTACAAACACTCAAAAAAGAAACAGCAGATGTCCCCATACATCCCCGCTCACATGCGTCACACTCCCACTGCATCCTGTATGTGCGTTCATGTGCCTGTCCCCCTGTTCCCGAGCCCGGAGTCTGATAACGGCTTATGATTAAAGCATAAGCCAAGTCCTTAATGATAGCAGCAGATGTTATGAAGAGGAAACAATGCTTTTATTTGTAAATGTTATGTATACAGCCATTAGAGACACATCTGGCTTGCTAAAACTTTGACCTTTTTTAATGAGCTGGACACACACACACACACACACACACACTGCCGTGACAGGTTACACTGATAATCATGCGTGTGTGCGTTTGGTGAGTGTGCTACAAAGCAGCATCGACTTGCACCATTTTTAGCCCTGCACATAAATCTCAGTTACAGGTCACGGCGTGACCTCGGCAACAGCTATTATTTCTCCGTCGCTGGCGCTCATAATGGCCGTGCGTTTCACTAGATTAAGCTCTGCCTCGCTCCGTCTCAATCCTGCAACTTCCAGCGTTCCCAGCATGCCCGTGCACGGAGAGAGCCGGGACGTCTCACCTCTCCACTGTCTGCCGCTCATAAATATTAATGTATGCAGATGACACACTCCCACCAGCAGCCTATCACCACGCTGCAGGAGACCGTAGGTGTCATTTCCATTAAACATGGCATTTGGGTAATTTCACCGTGGCAGAGGACACCGTGAATTATAGCGCAGCCCCAAAACATACGTTGGCTAAAGTTTATGAATATTAGAAATCCACTCCTAAGGAATTAATGCAAAAAGAGTATGTTAGCTGGTGATAAGTTAATTTTTTTTTCTCCTTGCCTAAAAATTATTTTCTTACTCATCTGCCTGTTCTGACAAGAATATTTGTAAGTCGATTCCGACCTTCAGATTTAGCTAAAAGCCTTGGAACTGCTTCTTTTTCGTCCTTTTTAGCTGCTTTTTTGGTGCGGTTTCATTATCTGTCATGTTCGTTATCATGTCCTCCTCTCGCACACAAGCTTTTTGGAAGAGCTTAGACGTCGACTTTGCAAGTGACATGGGGTTTCTATGTAGGGCAGGGAGTTTAGACTTTTCCGAGGTACACGAAAGCATTGAGCATTGAGGAGAAACTAAAAAATCTACAAAAATACATATAGATAAGTTTGTGCATAAAACACAGGTAAGTCTTGTACTGCAGGTTTCCTCTGTGAGGAAGTGTTTCTTAACTCACTCTTAGTATAAAAAACTATTTTCCAGCACACTTAAAATAGCACGAGCGTGTGTAAATGAAGCCTACTTGAAAATTGAATTGAACCAATTTAAAAATCTGGTCTCTAATAAGGAGGGTCAGCTTTTTACAGTAATGTGTGAAATATTTCCTTAATCATGGAGTTTTCACATGTGCAATAAAGGACAGAGAGCTCTTTTGATTGCTGTGATAAGGTGGCAGCATGAGCGTGAAAATTGAGGGTTCCTTATTTGATTTTCATCTGTGCAAAGTAGTAGAACTGAAATTCTTACTTAAAGAGTCCCAGATCAAAAGATGACAAGTGTGGAAGAATCATATCTTTGGATATGCCTCCAAAGCTGCATAGGGAGAGCGGTTCCATCTGGTTTCATCTGGTCGACCTAGGAGGAAACTGACGGTCAAACTTTAGGGTGATGCTGTGATCTTTGCAGAAGTGGCATCATTGTGCGAACAAAACAAAAGCCAGACAGAGTAGATTGAGGTAAAACATGCAAAATAACAAAGACAAAGAAGAAATATAGCTGATTTATGGAGGCAGAAGCATGTTATAAAACTGTTTTGTCCCCACGGAGGAGGACATAGCTGGGAATTATCATTCTAATGTCCATGTACATCAAACTTGATGTCATACCCAAGTTTATCAGATCCGTCCTGCACAGCGTGGCGTGCAATAAAGTTTCTTGGGCAGCTAACAATTGCATAATTTGTATCATAGGTGCCTTAATTTCTCTTGTGGAAACGAGGTGGGACCAGACAGACAGCTGTACATCCAGGACAACATTTTGAACATCTCCATATCTATATTCAGATAAAACTGACTGATATGTGTCACTAAGACTAGATGGTCAGGCTCAGGCTCACATAAAAAGACAGACTTCAGACTCTTCTGAGGTGTAAACTAACTGAATCACCTCTTTGGTTGCACTTTAACCATCACAAAGCAAGAGACTAAATGTCATTATGTGTTCATTTTCTTATTTCTGTCCATTTATTTTCTTCTGCTAATCCAATTCAGGGTCACATGGGGGTCTAGAACCTATCGCAGCTGTCATG